TATGAGAGGAAACTAACTTTTAAGAGGGTGAAGGCCATCCTAGAGATCAAGGGAGACAGGTTCATTATCTTCATCCAAGATGGCTAGCTGCTGATTGCTATTGTTGTAATCATCTTCCCATTTCACTCCAATCGATTCCATATGTACTTCCGAAGCCCTAATAGCTCCTTCTATTAAACTTCTTATCAAATGCCATGAGCTATAGACATCATAAAAACGTCAAAAGTGCCAGAATATAAATTGACCCACTTAAGTACATGAATACATGTGATATTATATAAAAGACGTGGCATACTAAGAACACTATGATTTCTTTACAATCCAGTTTACTCTCTTGTCCAGCCATTTGATTAGAGATTAAAATGAATCTTACATGCGCGTTTTTCAGATGACTGAGCTCTCTTGTTAGTCTCCATTGTCGAAGTCGTGCTACTTCACTACTGGAAGTCGCATCCATCTCTGCAGTCTTGGTATCTTTCTCTACAATTAATGCCTGTGAATAACCAAAACAAATGACTCCTGACCAAATATAGCATCTAGGAAAAAGACGGAACACTAAAAAAACTGTATATTAATTCAGGAATACAAAAAAAAAATAAAATAAATAGAAAACATAATCAACAAGTGAATCAGATTCATTTAATTGTCAGCCCTAGTTCAATCTTAAGAATGGACCTACAAAATCCCAGGTCACATACGCGAGCCATAAAAACTAAGATACACTGCCCGTGCAACCAGTTGCTATTGGCATAACCAGGCTGTCTGAACAACATCAGTCTACAGCTGAATTACACGACGGACCATTATGTTTGGTGGACCTATAAACTCTAATATGCATTTTCCTTTTCAAAGAGAAGAACTTGACAAAAAGATTATGCTTCAGTGTGATTCCCTCACATAATTGAAAAAGGAAAAGAAAAAAAAAAGATAATCAACAGGCGTATCAGATATCTATTTAATTGTCGCCCCTGATTCAATCTTGACAATGAACCCAGGAAATCCCAGGTTACATACTCGAGTTAAACGTTTTAATCATAAAAATTTAGGTAAACATTTTCCGGTAAGATTACATAAGCTGCAATTAGCTGGTATTCGTACAAACCAAGCTGTCTTCAACAACATCAGTCTACAACATCATTACATTTGGTAGACCTGAAAATTAAAAAAATGCATATTCATTTCCAAAGACGGCAACTTGACAAAAAATTATGCAACGCTGTCACATCCCCAAACAAAACTCGAACATACATTACCAAAATCTTGCAAAAATAGTAACTTTACATGGCCCAAACCACTAATTAAGACACTTAGAGACCAAGTACTTGAACACTTCATGCTCAAAGGGCGATAATTTCATTTAAAGGACCAAAAACTTGGCCTTTTTTACACTTTCATACCAAATTCAAAATAAAAAGGGCAGGAACTGAAAGTTAAAAAGTGAATTACCAGAAGATTGCAGCCTTAAAGTTCCACTATTTCCTTCAAAAAGTGGAGACTTCCGCAATGTATGCGACCTGAAGCCATCTAACCAATTACCGTCTTCAGAAGCAAAGGCAGCTTCAACAGTTGCTCGAATTTCACTCCCATCCTATTGTTCCTACACAAATTCATGCACGCGCCCAGTTTGAATGGGTCTCTTCCCTAGCTACTCATCCACGGTTATCCCATCTGAAGCTCCAACTTGGTGAATGGTGCACATGCCTCTGCAAAATATCACCAGAAGACCCATTGGTGACAGTTTTGTACTTTTACCATTAACAGCAACACAACAGGCAACCCCCATTCTTTCTTGTGCTCAACGCCTCAGCCTAAAGAAGTAAAATCTACTATTGACTGTATTTTACATCAACAAATGCTGAAAACGAATGCAGTAGACAACAATATCACCTGAGATTCCTGTAATTGTGAAGCAAAAAATTATAAACCAAAAATTGAAACGTCAACATACAGGCATTTCTTCATCCATACGGCACATCCGAACCTTCCCAAACATTAAGTATCAATCTACATGATACGACTTGGGAATATAAATTCGGAAACTAATAGTCCAAATATGTAACAAAGGCACAAGTCACAAAACTCAATCAACAACCCACAACCAAAAAAAAAAAAAAATGGAAGATTCAAAGATGTAGCCATCAATACCTGGAATGGAGAGTTGCAGAGAGACCACCGGATGGGAATTGGGTAACCCGATAAGCAGTTCCGACAGAAGTGGTGAGCGAGCGGTGAACCGACGAGCCAATTCGCAGAGCACCAGAATGAATCGGTGCTTGGTGACTGAAGCGGGGGCTAGTTATCTTATCACACAACCTTGTGACCGGAATTGTGGCGGTAGCAGGTGGCCTTACATTTGTCCCGTCGATTTGGCCGGCCGGTTCATCATATTGGGCTTCATCTTTTGTTGGCGGAAGTTTGCTTAACAAATAATCCTGAGATGGGCGTAACGCCAATGAATCTTAGGCCGTAGCATGGAGGATCGCCAGCCTCTAGGGTTTCAATGAGTACAATAGGTAGAAGGGCTTTCCGGCGAGGGTGCGAGAAAACACGCGAGAGGATTGATATTCAAGGCAGAACAGTGTTCGGTGGTGGTGGTGGTGGTGATGGTGGCGGCGGCGGCGGTGACGAATTGTTGGAAGAGAGGCTGGGTTGAGAGGCAATCCATAAAGACGGAAGGACAGGTTCGATATTAGAGAGACTAATGGATACTTTCTTCAATTAACTCCAGTCCGTCGGTGATGTTGCATGTGCGGAAAAATGGAAAAGCCCTGCGTGATAGAAGACACGCCTCATGTTGTGGTTATAGATCCTCTATGTATCTCCCGAGTTGATGTAGGGAAACGTACGAGTGGGAAGGATAAAACGAGTAAACGAGATATTCTCTCGTAAAACACGCAAAACTCAAAATATCTAGTATTATTTAATTTCAATAATCAAATCTCAATTAACAAAGAAGAAATAGACTTTAAATAAGACTCCCAAAACTCTAAACCTAACTTGTTCACCAATTTAATAATAATAATAATAATAATAATAATAATAATAATAATTAAACTACCCGATCTGCATCATTCTCCTCCGGTTCGGAAGGTTTCACCCTTGAAGCGCACCAAACGCGCCGACACCGGAGTCGTACCCATGGCAATCATCGTCCGACGTTTCCCTCTATCGATCACGAAAGTTGAATGTCTCCCAACATCCACTCGAGCCGACACACACAACATAGGACCCCTACTTCCAACCCAAACATCCCCGGGCATCATAAAACTAAAAAATTCAACACCACCTGAATGGTCAATAACTTGACGTATCATAATCACCCCGTCGTCATCTTTCATTACTTGTGCCAGTTCCATTTCACTTTGCTTAACCTCAGGATGTAGCATACAAATAATTGCATCGGTAGATCGTGAAGTGAAAAATCCTCGACTGGGATTGGAGCAGGACCTACGCCCTGGCATACAATAGTCCGTCATCTTCTTCAAAAACCACACCTTGTTGCCGCACATCATGGCCAACGTGTGCAGCAACGAGCTCAGTCTAAACGGGCAAAGGCGGCCACTCTCCGAAAAGATACACCTCCGAGATAGTCTCCTCGCCGTCTGCATCGCCGGACGGCGGTTGTGGAGATCGCCGACGGGGCTCCCTGCCTGGACCACGACCTCCACTTCCTCCGTGAACTCCCCCGTGTACACCCAGGTCACCAACGGCACGGTTCATCTGCAAATCCCAGACCACATTGTTAAGCGTCAAACGCAAATTCTCGATGCCCGTCGAAATATCTGCAAACCAATTAGTGAAACGCACGTCCAACTGTTGAAATCGATAGTCGATCTGTTGAAACACATCGATGAAGGTTGCATCACGTTGTTTGTTTGTGGCATCTTGTCGTCCCGACGACATCGCGAACCGTATTGGTTGCTGATACCAACTGATGTAGGAAAACGTACGAGTGGGAAGGATAAAACGAGTAAACGAAATACTCTCTCGTAAAACACGCAAAACTCAAAATATCTAATCTTATTTCATTTCAATAATCAACTCCCAAATAACAAAGACAAATGGAATCTTTTTTTTTTTTGGTACAAGACAGGAAGGCAAAGCCTAGGAAACGCGAGAACGGAACACGGCGGGGATAAGCCACTCCTACAATATCATGCATAAGCCAGTGGCCAAGCTCCGTGGGCGGGTTCTGAAGTCGATGATAACCCACTAGGACATCTGCAACGATCGCAGCCAAGCAATCAGCCGAGAAGTTTCCTTCCCTGTGAATGTGATTCAATTGAACCACCCAATCCCTCTTGAGTAGCTCCCGAATAACCTGTATAATATGGCCATGAACCCCTACACTCTCTTCAGGCCCCAGAACCATAGAAACGACACTTTGGCTATCTACTTCAACAATCACCTTTCTCGCGCCGATATCCCACGCCAGATGAAGCCCATGAAGAAGGCCCCAGAATTCGGCAGCAGTGATAGTGCACACGCCCACATTCATAATGAAGCCACCAAGCCACACGGCGTCAGCATCGCGAGCGAGTCCTCAAGCAGTTCCTCGTCCAGTAGCCGAACAAAGCGTGTTGATTTTGATCCACTCCGGGGGTGGAGCTTTCCAGTGTATCATAACTGATTCATACTGACGAGCCCGACTACCCAAAAGGGCCGCATAAGATGTTGCCTCCCAGTACTGCTCCACACGCCGACGGACATCTTGGACTTTTGTCTCCAACGGAACAAGCTTGTGCGAGAAAACGGCCATATTTCTCCAAATCCAAATTCGCCAACATGCAGTGGAAAAGATAGTAGCCCACTCAACCAAATCAACCACTCTAGCATCTAATAAGTTGCACCATAACCACGGCCGTAGATCAAGCGAGAAAAATTCAATTCGATGCGACCGAGGAATCAATATATCCCATAGCATACGCGCCTGTGGACAGTCTCGTAAAACGTGTAATGTAGTCTCTAACTGCCCACAAGCCCCGCACTCCCCGTCATCTGTTAAATGTCTTCTCATTCTCTCGCCATTCGTGAACAGCTGATTCCGTGCCGCGACCCACAAGAAATGTCGTACCCTTTGCAACGTCGGGGCCGCCATACTGCCTTCCACAGCGGCTGAACAGGGATTGAAGTTGGTTTAGCCAACACCTGGTACGCCGACTTAGTTGTGAAATGGCCATGTTGTGTATTAGCTCCATATCACGCGGTCGGGTCCCGCTGAAATCTGAGGGGGTAAGGTCGCTGAAATGAGTAACAAGCAACTAGCTGGAAGCAAATGTTCAAACTGGTCCCAACACCATGCGCCTTCCTCCGTTACGTAGGCTGCCACCAGTTCACCAATCTACTAAATAATAATAATAATAATTAAACTATCCGATCTGCATCACCAGTTCAACTAGCTAAATTAAAAAATAAAAAAAAAAGGATGCATTCAATAGTTCAGCAATGTTGTCCTGAAGTCATAATTGGTCAACAGATAACTACATGATACTTTTAAGTATTCGATCATTTTCATCTCCAAATAAGATAAGAGGTGAAAGCCTCATTTTAGAATCTGCCGTTCTTTGTGTCTCGTGTTTGGTTGAATATAAAGTTCATGTGAACCACATTGCGTAGCGAGGTTCTTGTCAAACTTTGTGCAAGATTTATCTCAGGTCAGTCTAAAAAATGCTTGAAGTGGTTTCTCGAATACTCTCCCATGTTTAAACTTAAGAAGTGTGTAGTGATTTAGGATTTGGTTTTTACTTGTTGCGAGTAGTTAACTCAGAAATTCTATGGTGCCACATGTGGCACCAT